CTCGTGTGGACACTCAGATAATTTGGTGAATGCTCTAGACTTGTGTCAATGATGCTGCAGAGGTCAGGAGATTCAGGGGAAACGAACAGAGTCAGACAGCCAAGTTGAAGCATTTTATAACTACTGAGCCCACCTTTGAGCATTACTCTTCAACTCAACCGCCATTCAACTTGTCACCGTGCCCTTGAGCAAACTCTTAAACAAGAGCAGCACTTTTAAACAGATCTTCCTGGGAAGGCGAGCGCAAAATGTGTTGAGCTTGCCATAAAAAGTAGGACTTGTGTAATAAAGGTGTTTGGCTGTAATGGTGTGAAAATGAATTTAAGATACTTAAATTAATAACAAAAGTTTATTTATTAAACAGAAGATTCTTTTCATTCGATAAACTGAAAAAGCAACCCTTTTCTGTGTTTCGTTTCAATAATGAGGCAAGTTTAAAAATGAAGAAATTTTATTCCTAACAATTTTGAACTGAAAATTTGAAACGACAATTATAAAAATGACAATTCATGGATGGCAATTTAATCTTTAACAGCTTTAATTAAATTTAATTTTTAACAGCTATTAAACTTGTTTATAAGCAAACCTGTGTTGGATGGAGCTCATTTGAGAACGATGAGTTTGGACGCGTGAATGAAGTTCCCAGAAGGTTTCTTTCAGAGAGAATGAAGCGTTCCGGGTGGAAATAATGTCTTGCGGATAACGGAGTTATTTTGAGAGAAAACAGCATCAAACGTCATCTGTCGTGTTCTACCTCACCCAAACAGCTCACCCTCTTGTGGATCTGGAGATCGGAAGGATGGGTTAATCCAAGATGACACTCGGGGCTGGCAGGAAGACGTGAGTGTCCGATGCTCTGGTCCAGAGTGGAAGCCGGGTACACGGCTGTTCGAAGCGTTTGGCAGATGCACGTTATCGTCTTAACTTCAGAAATCAAAAGACTCTGGGAGAGCCTTGCGTTAGTTCGTTAGTTTTGTTTGTTCTTGTCGGCGTGACAGAACAGCAGGTGGAGGCTCAGGAGACGGCCGTTCTCCTTTCCTCCTGGTGTTGGTTGAAGAATGGACGTGAATCTGTGATGTTAGATGTTACCAAAAGCTCTCAGAACACCTCCCTCTCTCTCGGGAAGAAAGCTTGCTTATGCGTCAAAAACATGTGAAGCAGTTATTGTTTATCTGAACTCTGTTAGCTGAACAGGGCGAAGGTCTTCTTTGCTGAACACATCTTTATAAACATTATAATTAATCATTATTATACCCAAAGCATAATAATCCATTTCATGTAATTAAAATACCTTTATATCTGAACCGTGATCATGTTGTAATGATTATTTAAACAGTAATAAAATCGATGAATTCATTAATTAGTATTTAATTATTATCATCGTGGCTTGAAGTGTCCTTCTTGGGACGGAACAGCAGATATGGTGTTATGATCTTGAGCAGACATCGTGGCTCCTTGGGTTTTAATCTGTGGATTCAAAGTACTGTCTGACCCAGCTTGACCCAGCTTGACCCAGTTTGACCCAGCTTGACCCAGCTGGGCAAATGTGACCTTTGGCACAAATCAGAGAACCTTCATGCCGTTACAGCTGCTTGGGACTCATCCTGACTGAAGTTTAAAAGTAGAACGGGTCAGTGTCTGTGGTCAGCCTGGCAGTGATTTAACACAACCGCTGACAGAACGACAACGAGACTCTTCCTTTAGAGCACATCCCTCCTCACTTACAGCCCAACACTCGTTAAAGCTCTTGTCTGAGGAGTTGTACACCAAACTCACAATCCAGTCTTTGTGATGAATGCTTTCCTTTTTAACAACATCATGAATATTTGCTGCTTCTGGACTTCCTCTAGTAGTGACAAGTAATAGGATGTTAGGGAAGAAATGGAAAATTATAATTTAGCACAAGCTTGCTCAATTCATTCCTGTCATAACCATGTCGGAAGTCTGCTTTGGCCTTTTATTTCTAGGATGATAAGGATGTAGCTCAGAAACGTTCACATGAGATGACGTTTTTTTTGCACAAAGAGGATCTTTTTATTTTAAAACATAAATATGTGGGTTATTAGAGGCAATTGTTCATTTAAAAAAATCAAGTTTCCCCCAATGCGGCCACTGGGGGCTTGGTATACAGACACATTATTTGTACAAATATTACTCGTTAGCGCATGGTTGCTGAACTAATGCCTTGCTTCTGCTGCGGCCCAAGAGGGATGGAGCAGTTAAAAATAGATTTTTCAGGCTTAAGGCGGTGTGAATGTAGTTTTTAAAGATGAAAGTCACACACTGAAAATAAAATAATCTATTGCAGTGAAAGGATGTAGCTCCATAATGTGGACGGATGGTCGCTGCCTACGCTGCTCAGAAGTGGTCCCCTCTGAGGAGGAGGCATTTGGGAGGAAGTGGAGCAACAAGCATCAGACAGAAATGAAGGAATAATCCTGCAAACATGCAAGAATAAAATGCAAGACTCCTTTAATCATCATTTAATGATCCTGAATTGGGTTTTTGTGTTTTTCAAATTAAAAGTTGGACTTCTTCTAAAGTAGCCTTAAAGTGGCAGTGTGTAGTTTCCTGCCACTAGGGGGCAGCACATACATGTCAGGGTAGTTTTACACCATGTCGCTGTGACTAGCTAGTTTAGAAACATTACGGTAAATGTTGCCTGTGCAGCAGAAAGTATGCAACCTCAGAGCGACGCCGCAGACGTTAAATCTATCGAGAATGCAACGCTGATTGTAGTTTCTGGGTCCTGTGTCTGCCGATGACCTCATCATACTACGGCAATACCACTCGGCCAAAATAAGTTGCATCTCTTTTTTTGATTCTGTTCTTTCACACAGGTTTTGGAATGAGTTTAGCAGTTTTGTTATGAAATAAATTTTTCTTGCTGCCCAAGTGTTTTTGAACGTGGTGACGTAACTTCCGTAAGTCATACGTCCAGCCAATCATTTAGCGTGATGTCATCGACAGGCGCAGGATCCTGAACCGGCCAGAAGGAAACATGGCGTCTAATATGGCGTCGCCCACAGATGCTAGACCTGTGTACTATAGACCCGATTTTTATGGTTCTGTTACGGAGCCACCTAAATGTTTCAGTGACTGGACATCACTTTATTCATTTAACATTTCGATGGATATTTCTAGTGATTGAAGATAAAAATACACATCATCTCTTTAACTAAATATTCTGGGTAGAGTCCACCAAAATGGGCCAAATCCTGTAAATGTTCTCCAGTTGGTATTCACCTTTGTGTCTATAGGCTCAGGTAGTACCAAGCATGTGTCAGTCACAGGTGTGTGACTTGGCTCTGGTTGACCGTTCTGTGATGGCTTGGCCATATAAATCACGCTGGCTGATCTTCAAGCATCTGGTTGATCCAAACCCTGAAGGCTGCACATGAATCTTCGACACTATTGAGATAAATGAATGTAAAATGACCAATTTGTGATGTTTTTTTCCGATTGCTGTGGAAATGTTCAGACATTCACAAACCAGAACCAGAGTAAATGACCATCAGGAGGATGCTGAGGGGGCGTTGTTATAGGATATTTTAAGGAAGATCTCCACACGTTTTACCTGCGTTGCTCATTTTATTGATGCACTAAGCTTAGAAGTTGCACGTAATTGTTGATTAATTTATCCAAAGGAGCTTAACATGCATGTCTTTGAGAGGAAACTGTAGCACTGATCCGGACTTAGGCCTGGCCCCGGGCACCACTGTACACATTTACCTTGTTGGATGAGAGGAAACTCAAACTTTTCAACAACCTACTTAATAAGTATTGCCGTGAAGCACTGGTGTTTGGGTTTGTTTTCGAAATAATGGTCAAGTTATTTCCTTCAGTCGTAAGAAATACCCCCCCCCCCCCCCCCACACACACACACACTGGGATCAGAAAACGAGTCCTCTATCAGCCAGCATGAAAGAGCCAGTTCAGATCGCGGTGAGCATAAACCCATCCAGAGGTGTCACACCAACACCTGGAGACATGGGAGCCGATAAACGGTAAAGTTCCTTTTTTCTGTGTCTGGATGAATTAAACATGTAATAAATAAAAGATCAAGCCTTCTTAGGCTCCTCTCTGTGTGTTTGCAAACTCTAAAGGATAAACGAGCATTTCCTTTTGCTTTAGAAAATGTTGACCACTTGTTTCATTTAGCAGTAAGATTTAACAAAAAAAAATCTTATTTTAGATCTTAGAGTCATTTTTGACCCCTGATGAGATGCACAAGAGCTAAATGTGTCTTTGGAATAAAACTCTTCTGAGTAAGCGCCACTAGGGGGGGCTGTCGCACCTGTTTGGCCCCACGTGGAGAGCAGATGGATGGATCGGATCCTCGTCGCCTCCGGAAATCCTTCCATCCCTCCCACTGCTGATTTACAATTCAATCAGTCACAATGTCATCTCTTTAGCTTTTACACGTTTAGCTGACAAAGGGAAGCAGGCACGCGCCTTTGTGAAATATGGAGTCGGACCCAAGAAGGGCCCTAATGTTCTCTCCCTCTTCTGAGTGGTCCAGACCACACACACACACACACACACACACACACACACACACACACACACACACACACACACACACACACACACACACACACACGCACACACACACACACACACACACACACACACACACACACACACACACACACACACACACACACACACACACACACACACACACACACACACACACACACACACACACACACACACACACTATTAACCTGCATGTGGGATCATCGCGCGCAGTTCTGCCGGCTGTCATGTGCCACTAAGAAGGTTGCGCGCGTGCTTGTGCGCGCGCGGGGCTTCTGCAAAGTTGCCGTCTATCGATTAGAGAACAGGTGTACGTGTGTCTTATATGAATAATGCAGAAAGAGGCTCTCCGGGCATAAACAGGCAAGCACACGCGCGCACACGCACACAAAATCCCTCTCCCTGACTGGATAACCAGGATATTCAACTTTTTAAAAGTTTTTCATCTTAAAAATCTATTTCCGTTCTGCCCGTTTGTCATTTTTCTGTTTTGTGTCAGGGCACCGCCTTCTTCTGACCAGCTGAGTTGCTTTTACGCACGGATTCGTGCCAATCACCAAAAAGAGACGATAAATAAACAAATCAACTAAATCCCAACATTCCATTGGTTACCCAAATGCCACTCAAATCCCCAGATCCCTCCCCAGCCCCACATCTTTCGCCACAACCCCACCACCCCTTACCCTCTTCCTCCCCCTCCTCTTTTACCGGCTGGTGAACGCATAAGACCTCCTCTTCTGTCCTCTCCTCCCTCCATCTTGCGGGTAGTGTGTGTGCACACACTCGCAAGTTGAGCCGAGGCGCACGGAGAAGTCGCGACGCCAGCGGAGGCGAGTCTACGGAGCAGAGAGCGGGAGCTGCTGTCGGAAAGGCAGACTGGATTTTCTTTGACGCGCAGACTTTTTGCTCCTTTTTAATTTACTATTTCCAAATCATCTCTGAAGTGGACTTTTGAATCAGCTCCGCGAGTTCCCGACACTCTGGTGTTTTCTTCTAAACTTTGGAGCAACAGAAAGTGATGAAGGCAGAGCCGCTGAGGTCCTCTCCGCTCCCAGCGTCCCGTTTGGATGCGTGAAGCTGGAGGAGCGCGCGGGCAGCATCCAACAGCGGGAAGACGGGTCCAGCCCTGGGTCCTGGCTCCAAGGAGACACGCAGCAGAATTTTGGGGAGGAGAGGGGATTAAAGAAGACAGGAGCTGCCCATGGGAGGCTTTTTCTTTTCTACTTAGTATCGACTCCAGGAGGATTTACAGTCAACTCCAAACCTCTTCTGTCTGATAGGTCAAGCGCAGCTGGAGCGCAGTTTGCTCACAATGAGCTTATTGATTGCACCGATACGATAAAAATCTGACTGCTGTGGAAAGAAAGCGGAAATAATCAGGAGACCCCCGGTTGTCAGTTCTGTGAAAAGATCCGTTGGTTTCCGCCATCAGGAGGGATGGAAACGGTCGGGAGAGGGAGAGGCGCGCCGCTGGGACCCCGCCTCTGGAAGACCGTGTTTGCTCTTGTCCTGTGGAAAGGTAAGAGAGGGAGGAAACGCATCAAGCTTCACATCATAACCCCAGATTAGTTCATGATCCGGAGCTAAGGTCTGTCTCCATCCAGGACTTTCTTTGTTATGAACGAGGTCAGAACTGGGAAGAATGGACCTTTTGACGCGTTCTGGGCATCAAAACTTCATATTTAATATGATTTTTGAACAAAAGCAACCAAAGGGAGTCCCGACGAACTTAAATGTTCTTTCCATTCCGCAATAGCATCAACACAAAGAACATTAGAGCGCAGCAAAACGAGGAGACCCCATTTTCAAGCATGATCCACGACAAAAACGAGTTAAGAGGTAATAATTAAACAAGTCCTCTGTTAATACCCCCCACACTCGCCCATAGCTGCGCGTGAGAGAGGGAATAATAAGTAGCTGCCTGCAGAAGCATCAGATGACAGGTGCGCTGGTGCCATCTGATACGCGTTAACGGCGGCTGACGCGCTTCAGACTTTTCTGATCACATCTTATGTTTAAGAGCGGAAACGTGCAAATGTGGCACCGCGCGCTCTCCGTGCCGCTGATGGAGGATGTTTAAAGTATGTTCACGCATTTTAATTCAAACAAGCTTGCGTGTTTATCTGAATAATTTAGCGGAGATACATTTGACTTAAAACACAAACTTGCGTCGATTTGGTTAAAAACTTTTTCTCAGAGCATCTCGGCTGGGTGTCTCCTTCAAGAACGCACAGAAAATCTCAAAATGTGAATGCTTGTGGGATGAGACCACCTCCCACTTCTAGACTCAAACAACAACAGAACATGTACCGAGCCTCAAGTGCGCTGCGTGGGTTCGGACGCCTCCGTTTCCGGCACAAACGACAGTCCTTTGGCATCACCAGTATCATGATCCTGGGAGTGTTTTTGTGTGCGTGGCAGTGTTTGTATTTTTTGCTTTAATGAGCTCGGATCGTTCACGCGCCACTGACTGGGCTGTGACAGTGGAAGCGTTGTGCGCTCCAGAGCGCGCTGGTCGCGGCGCGCGGCGCTCCGACGGGCAGCAGGGGCGTCGCGCCGGAAAACAGCTGTGCCGCCCAGCAAAAACAACACGTGTGACCAAACCAACATCCAGACATTTCCTGTCCTCCTCCTGTGACCTTCTGCTCTCTTCTCTGTGTGATGAAATGGAAACAGTGATTTTCGTGCCCAGGGACTGTCTGTGCCTTTTTGTTTCACATGCACTGAATTCAGCTTCCTGACTGCTGTTCCTGCTACCCTGGTGGCTTCAGGCCACTTGTTCTGCTCTCTTTTGGTCCTAGCTCAGTATTTTTCTCTCACCTCACAAACGCATGAAGAAGTCCATCACATCTGGGCTGTGGCCAGCTGTTTCATGTGGCTCCTGCCCTCATCTTTCCTGTTTTAAGTCCGACTTTAGCAGGATTTTAACATCCTTCTGGTTTTAAACACGTTTGCTTGTGCAAAGCGTAAAGCATTTCCTTAAGGTGTTAGTGGCATCTTTATTTTCACATCTTTGGGTTTCATTCTAATTACATCACCCTGTCGTTTCATCAGCCAGGACACCATTGTGCGTTTTGTTCAAAAGCCAAAACTCGGAGAAAAACCCAAAGCCAGCAGCTTTCTCTTGAAGGCTGAGAGGATAGATAGCTGTTGGGAGGTCATGAAGGGCTCTCTGCAGGAGAACTGTTGTAGGCGATGGGGCTCAACCTGCACACAGGCATTGGCATCAACACCTTCACCCGCCCATCCATAGCTGGAGTTATTTCAGCTGATCGATGGAGCACAAAAGTGAAAAAGTTGGCCTAAACCAAGTTTATGAAATTCGATTTATGGTTATTTGAGACAAAAGATAACAAGCATAGAAAAAACACACTCAAAAAATAACTTGTTAGGTGAACATGAAATAATCTTTGATTTAGCGATCTACAGTTTAGCTGCATGCAAGGGTGAACGTAACGGTGCCTTTATGCCATCTGCTGTTTTGAAACATGGCCGCCGTAAAGGTCTTGAAACTATTTAGTTTATGCAAAACTCTGACTGTGTCATAAATTCATGGTTTGCTTATGATGGTGGGACCGCTGCGACGTTGTTCACCAGCTCTTATCGAGTTGCTTTCTACTTTAACACCCAGACCAATATTTCATCTCATATTAGATTACAGGGAATAAACAACCATAAAAATACTTAAAAGAAATTACAGAAAAGAAAGTTGCAGAGAGCTTATTGATTATTTATTTTGACAGTTTGTCCACGGGAGGACCGAGTTGATGCAGGGTAAACATTATGGCATTATTTCCATGGGCTCTGGGTAAAGAAAAGGCTCATTTGTGATGGGGTGACTGGGGCCATTAAATGTGTGTTTACCACAAAATGTAATCAGCTCACAGGTTTACAAGCATGTATAGCACTTTAGGTGATTTTAGAGGCTAATTCTAATTGCATGAATGTAAATAAATATAAATATAAAAGAAAAGCTGATTTTTCAGCTGTAGTGGAATTGGATCAGAGTCCAGATTGTGTTTTATGTGCAAGACGGGGAGGAAAAGGCTTTTATCTGTGTGTGTGTGTGTGTGTGTGTGTGTGTGTGTATGTGTGTGTGTGTGTGTGTGTGTGTGTTTTGCACCACACTATTAACCTGTAGCAGAATGTCAGCTCACTGCAACATTACTCTTGCAGTACAGAGCATTAATAATTACTGATGTAAAATCAGTGACACACACACACACACACACACACACACACACACACACACACACACACACACACACACACACACACACACACACACACACACACACACACACACACACACACACACACACACACACACACACACACACACACACACACACACACTTTTCCTGTTCTGTGAACTAGGACTAGACTGAGATATCGGGCCAATACCGAAGCCTTGTCAGTGGAGCCGATTTTGAAATCGGGCACATCTACGGGCAGCCTTATGATGCTGCAACATTAGATTTAATTTAATATTTAAGTTTCTGAAAAATGAAAAATGTCTGTTTAATAAATGCTGTCTTTTTATTCACCTGTTTTATATTTAATATTTGGTTTCTCGTACATTTCAATCTAGGGTTGTCACGGTATGAAAATTTAACCTCACGGTTATTGTGACCAAAATTATCACGGTTTTCGGTATTATCGCGGTATTTTTTAAACGGTGTTGCATATGTTCAGAAAGCATTGATAGTCCTGTTCTACACAAACTGAAATAGTTCTGAAAAGGTTTAACATTGTTTATTAAACCTAAAATAACACAAAGCCTTAGCAAAAGTGCAACTTTTCACAAGTAAAGGAACAAATAGCTTCTTTTTCTGGAACTTGTTACAGTAGTCAGTGCAGGTTTAAATGATACAAATCCAAACATTCAAAACATAAACAATATGTAAACAAATCAAAGAAACACCACTTGTTTTCTCATATACTTGTTTTCTTCATTATCAAAATGAAAATCTAAAACTCCAGTCCACACTTGACTTGAGCGCTGTACAAGTCAACCTTAAAAAATATGTATTTAAAACAAATAGCCACTTTAAACAAATTACTAAAATAACTACTACACTATGTAATCAAATCCACATGTTCAAGTATAAATGGCATTGAATAAGTAAACAAATCAATGACAAGGAACTAATTGTATATTTCTCTTCATCATCAACAAATAAGATGCTTCATCCAGCAACAGGGTGTCCGTGACACGGTTTAAATGCTGGCAGAGGACGCTGCGGCTGCAGTATATAGTGACTCGTTGCATTCTCCCTCAACCAAAAGTCCTCACGTCATGCATTTAAGCTAAAATGCTAATGTTAACTTACCTTGCACTGGCTGTGGAGACGTGGGTGATCGTCACGCAGATGTGCCATTAGATTCGAAGTGTTACCTTTTGCAGACACTTGTTTCCTGCACGTTCTGCAAACGGGATAGCCGTCTTCTATTAACTGTCCCTCAGCGTTTTTCAGTAATCCAAAAGATGCCCATACTTCCGATTTAGTCTTCTTTGAGGGCTGATGGATGTCCTGGGCGCTGCCGTCGCCTCCTTCGGCCGTTATTTCAGCTTCAAAGTTTTGGTGCCGTTGCAAACTAAAAAGTGCGTGTGCGCGCCGCGGGAACTTCAGCTGAAGCGACGGTGGCTGGTAAGGGTCACCGCGCTGAAACCGCGGCCACGGTAAACCCACCGAGATAATTTAGTTTTTTAAAAACTAGACGGTTATTTTTATTGTCAACTTTTTTACCGGGGTTTACCGCTATACCGGTTACCGTGACAACCCTATTTCAATCAGCCGTCAGACACCACATTCAACCTTTAGCTAGCTAAGTGATAGCCGGCCATACCTTTTTAATGTGGAAAAGCACCCATCATCTCACCAAGCATGTATGCAGAGACTCGTATTTGTGGATGATGAGAATGAGAAGCAGCTTATCATCTTAGGAGACCAACGCTTTTGCTCTTCACTCAAATGAGCAGGAAGTGACGCTGATGGAGAAACGGAGGACAGTGACGAGGAGGAGGATGCTATCTTCCATTGAGAGATAAATTCATCCTCTGCCTTTCATCAGCACATCTCACTGACAGCGATGCTGTTTACCAAGGGACACAATTTAAAAACACTTCCCCTCTTCCCTTTCTCTACTGAAGCTAATATTCAAACAGAAAAATGTCTTCTGTCAGTAAACCAGTTGGCTCATTTTAATCCCAACTTCCTGTTTAAATGAAATACAATTAAACACTTGTTTTATGGCTTAGTTAAATAGTCCTTGGACTTGACTTATATGTCAAATCAGCTGTTCCTAAAGTTCAGGTCAGAACCAGTTTTGGGCAAGAAACCAGCAGGGACCTCAACAAGATCTGCAAAAACAAGATTAGCTTAAATATTTTTTACTTTCAGGCATTTTTTTAAAATTCAATATTGACTTTATTTATACTCAAATGTAAAACATATTTGAAAACGGCTGCCATTACCGGATTAAAACATAAAACACATTTCTGAGAAGCTGGAAAGT